GACAAAGGAAGGGAAAATCTGAGAATGAATAAGACTAAAGCTTAATATGGCAAAATTAGCATCTTTTAAAAAATTATATGTATTCTAGCATATGTGTGTGTTTGCTTATGTTTGTAGCTGACACCAGTTTTTTGAGGTTTACACAATTAATTTCAGGTCAGAACTCTTACCTTTATGAGACCACTGAGTCTAGAAGCAGTATTCTCAAGTAAGCATGTGGGAGACATCCATATTCAGCTCATTCCAAAAGGATAAGGCTTACAGATAGATGATTCAGACCATATAAATGCCAATGAGACCTCCAACCAAATGTATTCACTGAAAATGGGAAATAGGTTCATAAGCAATCATTTAGTCTGTCAGCTCTACACATAATCTGCTCCCTAATATGACAGACCCATGAATGAGTGTAAGAAGTTTCTTAGAGACTACAGAACTAAAGAAAAAGGATTTTGTAATGGCCTATAGCCTAACACCTGCCCAGAAATATACTAAGACACAGTCTTTAATAAAGAGCTGAATGGATTATTATGAATTAATTACTATGACTATGAGTAAACTAAAAATTTTCCCTTTTCTTATCATCATTCTTATGACTTGTAGTAAAGTTTGATCAGCAAATCCTTAGAATATTTGCTAAGCTGCTTTTTGTCATTTTCAGAGGCATTCAACTCAATTGTATGATTTGGATTCTTTTTTTACTTAAATGAATTGACTTGTTAGTTTTGTGGTTTATCTGAGGGGATTCCTACACATCAAATGTCATGTTAAGCAGAATTTACCCCTGAAGAGCAGTTTTAGTGGGTTGATGAATAAGATATGCAGGTGTGTAGAAACTGCAAAATGAATGGAATGACAATAAATGTTCCTCTGTTCTCCCCTGGAGCCATAGAACAGCAAGTAATATATCTTTTTCTTTGCTTTTTCTTTATTCTTTTTTTTCAACATTTTCATTGCTGATAGAGAAATCTCTTTTCTTCCTCTGCATTTATAGTTTAGCGATTTAAAATTTCCTGTTATTAATTTCCAAACTCTCTTAAAATTTGTCAGTTTTATTTTAGCTTGTTAAAAATTCTGGTTTGAGGTTGCAGTTTTTAATAAAGTAGTAACAGGCTTCCAAGATAAAGTGGGATGGCATATTAATACCAGTCCTAAGTAAAAATTTTTCTGTACCACCAGTCAACAGCCCACATATGCATTAGCAAACTTAACCATAACTGGGTAATGAACGGAGATTAAAATTTTCAGTTTTCAGTATGACCTTCTAACTAATCCTTCTGAGCATCTATTATGGTAAACATTATTTTTAGCAATTCCAGAAAAAAAACAAAATCTCTGTTCTTAATATGGTTAATTCTTTACAAAGATAAAACATCCACACATGAAAGGTAAGCAGGGGAGTTAAAAAGCCTATAAAAAAAGAATAGGTGTTTCCAGCCATTATACATTAATATGATACAAACAGTAAATGCTATAGAATTCAGATAACTCAGGGGGACATTGGAAGCAAAGTCAGTCAAAGAATGTTCCACTGCTGGTCAGACTTGAAAGATAGGCAGGATTCAGAAGGAACATAAGAAAAATTCAGAAATTAAGGGTGAATACGTGGATGGGTGAAGAGACTTGGTGGTATAAACAGAAATGTTGGAAATAAACATGCTGTATTAGGAGAGTAATTATCAGTCTAAGCAGACATGGAAGTCAAAGTCAGAATGTTCTATTCTAGTATCTTGTGGTACATTTGAAGTTTTGCTTTATGGACTGTTCTCTTCAAATCAGCTGAGACTTCCCAGAGGCAGAAGCAATGTTCTTGCTCCTTATCACCACTAGCCTCTGATCCAAGGCCGGTACATCAAAGTCATTCACTGAACCTTAGTTAGATGAATGAAAGAAGGCAAAATAAATACCAATAGGTTTTTCTATCAGTAAAAATCACAATTGACCATTAATTACTGGACTTTACATTCTCCGTAAGAAAGGTATGAGATATCTAAAGAGTCTGGCTTCAGATGAGCTTCTGTTTGGCTTTGCACTAAAAATGGGATCAACTGAAAAGTAAATTTGAAAGTATTGAGGTAAACAAAGTTAGATGGGTTTGTATTTATGTATCCATTCATTCAACAAATATTTATTGAGTACCTTCTATATCCTAGACACAGATCTAGGTGGAGTAAGGATAAAGACAAAGTAGTAAAGAAAAATCTATGTCCTCATGTTGCTTATATTCTAGGAGAGGGGGAAAAATTTAGTCATGTCTGTTATATATGATAGTTTGTAAAAGTGGCCCACATTGTTTACCTGTTTCTGTATACACATCTTTTGCTGTGTAAAACTGTAGTGCTTGCTAACTCTTATCCTATACTTGGGCCAACAGGGCATTTAGCAGACTGGCTCTTGCTGCCCTGTGACTGTCAGAAGACTGTGCCTCTGCTAGCTTGCTCAAAGATGAGAGACACATGCAGCAGAGCCAAGACATGGCAGTCATCTCAGTGGGGCTCTCCTAGACTGGCCAACACTCAGGATGCATGCAGACATGCGAACAAGCCTAGCCCATATTACTAGAACTGCCTAGGTGACCCAGGACGACTATAGACACAGGAGTGAATCCAGGACAGATCAGATAAGCTTTACATGTTTGAAACTAAATATATCTTCATGGCTGCATATCATGAGGAGTTGAGATTGTCTGTTAAACGCAGCATTATTGTGGTAAGAGAAATAAGTGTGACAGAGAAATATAAAGCTGGAAATGTCAATAGAAAGTGCCAGGAGGAGATATTTGCAAGTTTAAAAAAGGTAATCAATGAAGGCCTCATTAAGATAGTATTTAAGAAAAGACTTACAGGAAATAAGAGAGAAAGCCATGTAGGTGTCCTGGAGAGAAGGGAAATGTTTTAGGCTGAGGAACAGTGTGTGCAGAGAGCCTGGTGTGGTGTCTGAGAAATCACAAGAAGGTTAGTTAGTCAGAGATGAGAAAGTGACATAGAAACAAGGGAGAGGAACTTAGGTTGAAGGGAGCAGGCCAGAACCAGTTTTGTGGAGTTACAGGACTTCTCAAAGTCTTGATTTGCTAATCAGCCTTGTGAGTTTCCAAAAAGGAGATTAAGATTTCTGCAATTTCTCAAGTGTACTTGATGATCCAATACTTATTTCACAAAGCACCTAAAGCACTAGAGTGCAGCAGAACCCACCTGTGGGTGGTTTCAATCTAGGCTGAAACAGGATGCCCTGAAACAAGCTGGAAATTAGCACCCTGACAGCATTCCAGAAGATCCAGCAACTTGAGTGGTGTCTGCCCCAAATCATGCAGATGTGGTTATGTGATCTGACATGCTGCAGATACATTGGCTTATTTCATTAGAAGTTTCATATATGTCATATGATGTCATTGTATGAATGTTCCAAATGAAATAAAAGTCTAGCAAGGAAAAAAAATTTTTTTAATTCACAGAACTTGTAAATCACTAAGCCTTCCAAGCTTTCCATTAATAACAAGCAAGAGTAGGTTCTCCAGATGCTCCTAATCCACATCATTTGAGATGGAGAGCCAATATTTTAACCTGTCTCAGCAGGGAACATCTTATTTCTAAACAAAAGGAAGAAATGGAATAGCTGCAATGATTTTAAAGATGGATTAATATTTAAGTGGCTTACATAAAGATGCATGTGGCTATTGATTTGTTACAGGAAGCGCCATCTCAATCCAAGGTCCTGATGCCAGAGAGGTTTCCCTGTCTCTGTTAAATTTAAGACCTTGTATACATGAGATGAGAATTTTCAGTCACACTGTACCTTTGACACCAAACTCCCCTCTTCACCTCCTCACTACACTTTTTCATCCCCACTCCTTCCAATTATAGCTATTTCTGAGAGTAAGAATTTTAAAGGTAAGAATGTATACCATCTCCAGCAAACAGAATCCACTGTTATATTTAATGTTAATCTCTCAGCCACCAGCCAAACTACTTATTTAGTTACATCTTCCATATGTTCCTTCTATTGTGTTGTATATGAAATATTATGTGTGGAAACATCTTGAAATACAGTAAATTAAGCATTTTGTAAGAAAACATGTTCCCTAGACAGCATATCACATACATTGACAACTGCTATGTAAGTATAAACTATGTTTTTGCAAACTGAGAGGAGGCAAATTTTCCTTTACTCCCCTGAAAAATCATATTCCTTCCTTCCATGACTGATCATATGATTTCAATTCCTTTTCTGCAGGCCAGAAAAGAGACTTTCCCCCATTTCTGTCCTACATAGCTCCTGGCAGGGAAGGCTTACCAAACATGTGTAAATGTTAGAGAGCAGTGAACACAGTAGAGCCAGATGCAAGTCTCAAAGATTCTCCTGCTACAGACGCCTGCTATCTACCTCCCTTCCAGCATGGATTATACCTCCTGCTAGGATGAAGCCCACCCAACTACTGCAGTTATGAGCATGGCATATCTCCTTTGAGGGAGTAGAATGGGAATAACTATTTCTTAAATAATAGATATTTACTGGTTACCTGAGAAGCCCTGTCTACCAGATCCTCAGAGACACTCAGAGACATGGCACAAATACTGGCCACAAGGTGAATACACTATGATTGGGGGAATAAAGTGACACTTCTATGTAAAAAATTAACTGTTCAAAATAAATTGAGTTGTTCAGAAACTACCATTATAGAATTCAGCAGAGTAAGAGCCATCAGGAAAAACTTGTGAGATGGGGAAACTTTTATTTCAGTTTTATAACATAAGCCTAAATTCAGTTAGGTAGGATGAGAGACATGGAGATGGGTACATGCAGAGCTCTTAGTAAGGACACAATTTCCTTCCAAAAAATTAAAATAAAAACCTCTCTTAAGAGTACCAGGCACTACCCTGAGTAAAAATAGTAATACCTGAGATAAAACACCTCTTCCCTTGGATCTTACATCCTAGAGGAAAACAGCAACAAGCAAGTACTGAGTAAACAATAAGCATCACACCAAATTTTGATAAATATTGTGAAGAAAATTAAAGTGAATGACGGCATAGGGGTGGGAGGGCAGCCTCAACCAAGACAGTCAGGGAAGGCTTTTCTGAGGAGGTGGTATTTGAACTGTGGCAATGACTGGTACAGAGAATGTACATGACGGATTTCCCAGTTCTAACTGGAGAACTCTGATGTCCTGGGAAACACTGAAGAGTGAGAGAGAAGGGGGAAAAAATACCTCTCCGTAGAGATTCATTTTGGAGATTCAGAAAAGCCATTAGCGTATTAAAGACACTTGAAAATCCTAAAGTAGAGTAAGCCATTTAACTCAATACTTCCCCATCGTGCCTGAACATGATGGTCTCTATTTTGGTGGTAGGGGTTGGGGAATGGAGGGGTGGGTTGTAATATAACAACATTTTCACTGTTGGTCCTCAGAACACTGTTGAATGCCACACTAAGAAGTCTGAAGATGCGAATAGAATAAAATCTGAATGGAGCTCCCTGTAGTTTTGCCATGCATCAACCTGTTTGGAGTTTGATGTGTGGTAAACAGGAAACCATTTTAGTTTTTGAATAGGAAATTTACAAGGTAAAAATATGTGTTTTGACACTGTTACCCTGACAGTGATAATGCTAAGTGGGCTCAATGAAGGGGAATACAGATCTTGGGAGACTAGTTGGTAAACTATCATTATACCTAAGCAAAAATGTTTGAATCAAGAAATAGTAAAGGGGATGAAGAGAAAGAGAAAGAGACGAAAAATTAAGAAAAGTAACTGCTAAACAAGTGGGTCTCTCATGTGGAACACAGGAAAAGCACTAAATAGTGAGTTGGAAGATATGGTTGGTATTGGTGTGGTGGATCAGAAATAACAAAAGAAAATTAAACAACATTTTTATAAGCAAAGGCTAGGCAAGGATAGAAAGATGAAATAGCAATGAGGATAGAAACCAAGTTGAGGTCATGGTATGAATGGCCTAGAGTGGAAACTTCAGTGTTTCAGTGGAAACATTTTTTAGGCAAGCTATTAGGTCTTCTCAGTAGGCATGATTTGAAGTATGTTTTAGTAAGTTGCATGAAGTATTAGTGTGTAGGATTAATTGAAAAAGAAAGAGAAAGAAGATAGGTAGAGCCATTCGAGGTCGATTTCAGAAGTCCAGGTGAAAAACACACAGAATGGGGCAAAGGGACTAGGAAAGAGGAAAGAGTCTAAAGCTGTTTCACTGGGGACTGGCTGGGAAAGAAGAGTGGACCACGAGGGCATCTTTTTCCAGAATTGGGAAGATTAGGTACACAATTAGCAGTGAAGGGCAGAGGCAGCAGGTACCTGGGAGCAGATTCTCCATTCCATCCGGAACAACTGAGTTTGACGATCTAGTGACTTACTCAGGAAGAGATGTTCTTGTAGCCTGATGTGAAGCTGAAGGGAGATTTCAGACCTAGGATTAAAAATTGTAGAAAGAATTAGGTTAGCACAGAAGTCAAGAGTTTCCAACACGTTGTCCAGCCTCCACACAGCATGTGACTCTGAAAGTTAATTCTATGTTCTGTGACTCCCTTTCCTCCTCTATAAAATGGGGATAATAATAATAATACCAACATCATAACATTGTTGGAAGGGTTAAATAAGCACAGGGAGGTGCCTGGCACAGTGTGTCTGAGGACCCAGTTATTATTTTTATTGGTGTTGTTATTGCTATTAAATGACATAGATGACAGGCTTTTTTAAAGCAATGAACTTGAACATAATCTTCAAATAACTCTACTCTCAGCATTTAATTATTCAAGCCTTCTTTTTCTTCATGAGAATGAGTTAATAATGCATACTGCTATGTAATTTATATTTTGATTTTCAATCCAAGCTCAGAAAAACTGCATAGTAAATACCCAATATACTATATTGTTGCCTTATGTACAAAAGTATTATAGGTAGTTGATTAATTATACCACTTCAGTAACATTATAGGTCTATTGTAGATTTTGAAGTAATTTCTAGGACAATTTAAGACTGTTAAATAAGGATCAACTTGGAGGTTCAGAGTGAAGAGTGAAGAAAATGTCACTTTATTCTGAAGATTCTGTTACAGCTATTTACATTACTGAGGATCTTCATCAGACACACCATGGTTAGGGTTTGGGAAATTTAAAAAAATAAGTTCTCCAAGATTATATGATTACAAGAATATTAACCATATTTAATAGGAAAATCTACCTCTTATACATCACAAATGTTCACCAGTTATTGCTGCAACAAAACTGTGGAGATTATTAATACAGTTCAGTGAAGCTGATTGTGAACGTCTACTTTAAAACTTCATGCCCGTTAATCCAGCCTGTCTCTCAAAGCCCTTCACGAAGGAAAGGATCGTCCTGTCAGGGAATCCTACTCTGCTGTATGGCGAGGAGGCTCATCAGGTCAACGGCCAATGCTTCTCTGGAAGCAGTTGATGCCCTGAAGATTACGATGCTCAGGTGAGAAGGGCAGTTTCTCTTTACAGAGGGAAAACTGTCAGATCACACGTCTTAAATGAAAAACTAAAGTAAAATTGCAAGGCATGCTTTCTGGGTGATTTTTTTTAATGTCTGAAAAATAGTTTGACTATGTATTTGAAATGAGGATTCAGTTCCTTGACTGAACTTTTCCTAACAGACCAATAACATTTTTTTTAAATTCTGCTGAAATGTAACTGTTCTATGGAGAAGCACATACAGATTAGATTTGTGTCTTTCAAGGACTGTCAGAGATACATATAATGAGTTTTTAATATTTCAACTTGCTATCAAATGTACATACAGGTATAGATTTTTTAGCATCTGCAAGCAGGTCACAGAAGCATAGATTTAGGCAGAGAATATTTTCAATTGTTGGTCACAAGCTGGTTTTGTTATCCAAGATTATGTTTGTTTCTTTCCTCCCAAATGATACTGCGAATTGAAAGCATTTTCCTTTGTATTATTAAAGAGCCTAAAGATGGTCTGGTGTTTTAATGTTTGAAAAACCTGGAGCTAAAAGAAAGTTGCCACAGCAATTCACAGTTGTATTTTATATGAAATGACACATTATCTCTATTTAGCTCCAGGTTTTTATAAAACCTCCCTGCAATTTTGAATGGAAGGTTCTTTCCGGGATCTTCCAAAGGAAGCTGATATGCTTGCAAGCATGGAGCACTGGGCTCGTTAATTAGGTGGGGAAGCAGTTGAGTCTGAAACTTACTGGGAAACTCGGGGCTTCCTGGCCCCTACTCCTCTACAGGAAGTCTGCAGTGATTTAGCACAGGCAGTATTGAAGGAGCACTTACCAAATTTGTTTCAGTAGGGGAAGAAGACCTCATGATAAATACCAACTATAAAGGCTCAGCACACAGGAACAAAGGCCTAAGCGAATAAACCTAACACAGGATGAGATGCGTTCATGGTCTAGTGACAGCCTAACCATAATACGGGGTTATTTTTTGAAAAATTGTTAAATATACTCTGTTAATTGAGACCCCATCTTTTTCTAGCTTGTTAGTGAGCTCAGTCTGATCATTCAAATTTTTCTCATTTTAGGTCACGAGGAGAGTCCCTCTTGCCTGCCATGGCTCCTGGTGCCATTCTGGGGCAGAGGCCGCAGTAGCGCTCGCTCGCAGCTGCCAAGGCGAGCCCAGGGCCAGGGTGCAGACACATGTATGCTGCCAACTTGCTAGTGTCGGCTATTTTGATTTTAAAATTCTGAGATTGTTCATGTTATACACACGACCCTAAAGCAACCAGGAGAAACTGAGACTGGGAAGTCAGTCTGGTAAATGCAACATTAAAAGGGCCAAAATTAGAGGTCTTACCCCAAATTCCTACTTCATGGATCAACTAAGAAATGAGACTCAAGTGCATTCTGAGCAATGGGAAATTAAGTAAATTACCCAGAAACCTTGAGGAAGTCATAATGATTTAAAATCACAAACTGATTTGAAATAGTTTGAAATAATTATTTATAATCTAATAGGTGGGGAAGGGACAACACAGGTAGGAAATAGAAAGTAAAAACAACAAAAATAAACAGGAAAAATAAGAAAACAGCTTATGTTTTTTAATATATGTGTATATATAGAACATAGATAACTTTTTTCTTGATGGTTCACTTTCTACACAAAAGCTTAATGAAAAAATAAGTATTTTCTGTCTTTCCCCTCTGTGTCTATACCTCCCAGCACTTAAAATACTTACTGGAACATAGTAGTTTCTCAGTAAATAATTACTGAATCAATCAACCAATGAATAATTATAGCCAGGTTATAAAGAGGGTATGGAACGTGATACAGGTAACAGGATCAAGACCAGCTTGCATGGCAGCAATGGATTACAGCACTAAGTGAGAAGGGGACATGATGGAATCTTTGGCAAATATTAAACACTCCCCTTTGGCTCCTGTGGTGGTAGTTTCCCTTTCATTCCGGCGTTAGCATATTTATGAGACTTCTCTAATATTTGTTCACAGGTCAACTGCCCTACTAGACCACAATACCTGTTCTTCTACTACTTAGTATAGAGTCTGGCACATAGTGTTCAATAAATATTCCATGAATGACTCCAGATACATTACTAATTGAAATTTCAAGAATCCCTTTAGGGTTTAGATGGAAAAGAATTATAGGGTGATATCCTTCTCAAGGTTTCTCAGACCCCTCGGACCACTTCAGTTTATTCTATTATTCTTCAAACATTCTGGGAAAGGATGCTCTTCTTCCGCTGTAGTTCCACTGATGACCACATGATGGCGCTGACACTGCACCATAAACACTGAAGCAGCTGGGCATTGTGGATTCCCTATGCCCTTCCAGGTGCTTCCCTTTCTCCGCTTCCTGCCCCCACTTTTTGGCTGTTTCCCCTCAGGACGTCCTTTCTATCCAGTCACACTTGATAGATATAATACTTGCCAAGAAGCTGTCAGATCAGGACTGGTTACTGCCCATCTGAAGCTGGTATGTTCTTTGTTCTCAGACAGGCCTAATTTTATATATTCCTCCCATCTGAAAAAGACATCTAAAAACATATTGAATGCTGTTTAAAGCTGTACATTCTTAGTTTGAGGGATAGGTCTCTTTATTTTGCACTTGATTGGCCTCTGCAAGTGACCTATTCCTTCCTAAACAAAATAGCCAACAGAGCAAATTATGTCCTGATATGTTATTAGAATCCTCCCAGTTAAGGAGATTGAGATGTAAGGCTTTGCCAACATATGCAGAAGAAGAAGACTCTTGCAGGGAATAAGGCATCCATATATCTTCAAAGTAGATTGGAAAACAGAACAAAAATGAATTACTTGAAAATCACCTACTTGCTAAGGATTAAAAGTGAGTTCAGAAAGCTGGTAATATGGTTTCAAAATAGAAAAGGGATAAAGATTTTATTACGTTGAACTAGGATTTTCTTTATTTTTCAGTTGAGGCAAATATTAATCATGGTGAAATGCTTCAAGATTTGTATTTGTTTATAAACAATTTTGCTGAGATGTAATTTTCATTTAATGAAATGCATCCATTTAAATAGTCTGAGTTTTGACAAATGTATATATACTAATGTAAATACCACCACAGCCAAGATAGAGAATTTTTCCAATGCCTGAGATAGTACCTTAAGTCTTCTCTCCTCAGCCCCTCTCCTCACTGATCGGATTTTTATGACCTGAAAATACTTCTATCTGACCTTGACCCTTATATAAATGGACTTACACAGTATAAATGCCCTTTTAGTGTCTAGCTTCTTTTGCTGCTTTTGTTTTGATGGTGATCCATGCTGTAGTGTGTGTATGCAGTTTATTCCTTTTTATTGCTGAATAGTATTCAACTCTGTGAAAGAAACACAATATTTAATTCATTCCCACTTGGATATTCAATTTGTTTCCAGTTTGGGCTATAACCAAAGCTGACATGCATATCCTTAAATTAGGCTATTCATTTTATTTATGTCCATATTATTGTGGATATATGCTTTCACTGCTTTTGGAAAAATACCTAGGAATGAAATTGCTGGCTCTTAAGGTAGGTGTTACACGTAAGTGTCATACATATGGTTACAAGAAACTGCCAGTTTCCTAAAGTGGTTGCATTAGTTTCCTAGGACTGCCTTAACAAAGCACTACAAACTGCGTGGATTAAAACAGCAGGGCTGTATTCTCTCAGAGCTCAGGAGTCCAGAACTTCTGAAATCAGGTAGTGTGATACCAAGATGTGGTCATGGCCAATCTCCCTCTAAAGGCCCCAGGGAAGAATCCTTCCTTGCCTCTTCCATCTTCTAGCGGTTGGTGGCGATTCTTGGTGTTCTTTGGCTTGGGGCAACGTTAACTCCAATCTCTGCATGTCTTCCTGTGGGCTTCTTCCCTGTATGCCTCATGTGTCTGTGTGTGTCAGTTTCCCTCCTCTTGTAAGGACACAAGACATTGGATTTAGGACCCATCCTAGTCCACTATTATCTCATTTTAACTTGATTACTCCCACAAATACCCTATTTCTAAATCAAGTCCCATTTGAGAGTCCAAGTAGACATGAATTTGGGGGGACACTATTTGACCGAGTTGGACAATTTTACACCTCCTTCCAGTATATAAGGGACTTCCAGTTGCTCTGCATCCTTGCCAATCCTGGTTATTGTCAGTTTTTAAAGTTTTAGCCACTCTAATACATATGGCATCTCATTCTGGTTTTAATTTGTGATCCTTTGATGACCATTAATGCTGAGCATCTTGTTATATACTTATTGGTCATTTAGGACTCTTCCTTTATAAAATGTATGTTTAAGATAGTTTCCCATTTAAAAATCATGTTGTCCTTTTTTTATTGATTTATAGGAGTTATTTATATAATCTGGATATAAATCGTTTGTCAAATATATGTTGCAAATATTTTCTCTTCCTCTGTGGCTTTATTTTTCATTTCCTACAGTGTCTTTTGATGTTTGCAAGTTTAATTCTGATTATGTCCAATTTTCAACTTTTATGTACAGTACTTTTATGCCCCCTCAAGAAATCTACCCAGCCCCAAAGTTGCAAATATACTGTTTTCTTCCAAAGATTTGTAGTTGTAGCTTTTATGTTTAGGTGTATAATCCATCTTGAATTTTTTTCTGCATAAGTGTAAGAGCCAATGTTCATTTTCCTCCTCCCAAATTTATCTAGTTGTTCTGGCCGTACTGTTGAGAAAACTGTCCTTTCTCCATTAAACAGCTTTGCCTGAAAATTTAATGACTGTATATATGTGTTGAAAATTAATTAACAGTACATGTTCTGTTCCAATGATCTATTTGATTATTCTTGCCACATTGTTTTAATTACTATAGTTTCATAGTAAATCTTGAAATCAAGTAGTGTAAGTCTTCCAACTTTGGTCTTTTTTGGGATAAATTTGGCTATTATTTGTATTTACATTATAGGTACATTTCTTTTCTATATAAATTTCCACCAAAAAAAAACCTATTTGAAGTTTATTGGGACTGAACTGAATATAAATAAGCAGGCTTTTTAATAGTTAATTTGTAAAATCTACTTGTTGCTAAGAAATTATCATTCTCTAATCTTTAAAGTTTTCCCCAAATTGCCTTGTCTCTGAAAAATATGTATAACAGACTTAAGCCAGATCAGAATTTATTTGAAAATCTTGGAAACCATGAAATCCATTTTAATCTACTCTTCCTTGAATAAAATAAAATAACTTCTTAATAATTCAAGTCTGGGAAAGACTTTATTCTGGCATTAGAAAAAATGTACAAATTTATAATAAGTAAAACCATAACTCCCAAAACGGTTTGGAAGCTTTGTTTTTAAAAAAAGACCTTAATTACCATTTAACTGTTAGCTTTTAAAGAATTTTCCATAGATTAGATTTGATAAAAAAGCATAGTATGCCATTATTTTAATTCAGGATATTCAAATTATTGAAAATGAAAAACCAATTTAATTTTATTCACATCTCTCTTATTCCACTATCCACTCTAATTACGTATTTGCAATAATATGTACAGAATGTTTGAAAAAGAAACCACCAGAAGAAAACACCTGGCATATGTTACTTTTTAAATCTTTTCAATCTTGGGTTATTCTCAGTCTTGCCTGTGTCTCTTTCATATGAAATGTTTCAATGTTCAGAAAATGAAAACAAGTCTTAATTATTGTCATAGCCCCACATTTCTCTCTAATATCTTGTTCCACGGCAGGGTAGCATTCTGAAGAAACCAATTCACTGACATGCCTTCCCAGATATTACTATTCACTTTGTCCCAACGCCTCCCCAGTTTTCAGTGAATTAAATATCTGGATTGTAGGATACTGTCGTTTACCTTTCCAAATCTAAAGTGATAAAAAACTCCAAAAGTTAGGGAATACTGTCTACAACATCACCATGATTCAAAGGGCCCTGCAGCACTTACCAGCTAGTCTGAGTTAGCCAACATGTTGAAGGCGCCATCTGCTGGGACTGTCAGGAAGCACAGAGATACACCTTGCTTCTCCAGTACTAAACCATTTGTGATTCCTGTATTCCTTCCATCACAAGATGGCAATATTTCCTGAAACTAGGATGTACTGAAAAAGACCTATGTTAAAATTTAACATAGTAACTAGTACATTTCTTCCCCCAGAGAAATCTATAACTGAGTTTATTATAATTAAATCAACAGCAAGCTTATAAGACTGGATCTGTTTGGGGAATGGCTTAAAGACTATTTAAAAAATTGATGAATGAATTGTGAAAAATCCAGTTACAGTCATTACGGGTAATATTTATGAAAATGTTTAATGAAACAACTGTTTATATCATCCTAAGATTAATGGGGAAAAAGACAACAAAACATATATGACATAAGCTCAGAGTAAGACACTGTTGTATCCTGGTTAAGAATGAAGAACTTAGCAGCCACGGGTTAAGTACTACCTCTGCTCTTTAGTTCCCATGTGACATTAGGAATAGTCACTCGGAGCCTCCACTTTCTCATCAAAAAATACTGAAAATCACAAAAATCCATAGGGTTGTGAAAATTAAATAAATGTGAAATCATTATAATGTCTGTGGCTTACTTACTGATTTATAGGAGTTACATATATAATCTGGATATAAATTATGTCAAATATATATATACATCTATGAGTTTACAGGAAAAAATCAAATAACTCAGTCCAAAATCAAAAATTAGCTTATAAGAAATATTTTTAATTGTTCATTAAGGATTTTTGCATTCTCTAATTTTCTAGAGTGAACCTATTTTATTTCAATGACCAGGGAAATAAAGTTAAAATCAAAACAAAAGATATTAATATTAGTGCTTACATGCCAACAGGGGTATTACAAATAACAAAAAGACAATACCTGGTATCAAGTCCTAATGCAGGCTTCAAGAGTGGCGGGCCAGCTATCAGAAAGATGTCTGCTTACAGGCCAATCTTATATTAGCCCTAATTATATTAGCATTGTCTGTAACAGATGCAGTGGCTCCATTCAAACATTTGGGCACCTGGGAACATTAAGACTGACAGGAATTACTGTTAGAATCTTCTATACAGAGTATTGAAAAAGCACAAAATAATTAATAGAGAAAAAGTGGTGGGTACACTCTTTTTGCAACAAGGGTTTATGTTCTTGAGTTTTGCAAGTACTGAGAATTGCACAAGCCTAGTATTTCCAAACATACGCATACCAGTCAGGGAGGTAGGAATAAGTCTGTTTCTAATGCTGGAAGTTTACAAATATTTTCCTTTAGGATCCCATAAAAACAAATAAGTCTTAGTTATACAAAGATGAAAGGGAAAGTTACAATAAGGAAATTGTTTAAAAGATATGAAAAAGCATTATAATGCTAACCCCCATGCTATGGCAGTTAGGAACTGCAAAAGGTAACAGTTTTAACAATACGTAATTGTTCACATATACTGTGGTGGTATAACTCCAAATAACTTAATGGCCTATTAAATTTATATGTAAAGAATGAATATAATCTGCAATTTCATACTCTTAAAACTATTCCTATGAGGGAATTAGTTTCTGGGATTAAGATCATGCCTTAATATTTCCAGCATTTTAGTGCCAAGCAGTAGTTTATGAATATATACAGTAAGTACAAATTTGTGACCTTCTATTTAGGTAATAGAAATAGCACACCTTATTTTCTTTTATTAACTTAAATTGACTCCAAGCACCCATCCCAACAGGCTGTCAGGAAATCCAGCCGCAATCAGCATTGTGGCTTTCTCTCTCCTGCTCCAAGGTCAGATACTGCAGCAAAGCTTAGGAGTTGTGCTTGTGTGGGGCACCGGGAGAGAGCAAGCACCCCCACTAGGAACACTGGCAGCTGCTCAGCCGCTAAAATGGCTGCCTCCGCTTCTGTCATTCTTGGGGCCACGTGGACATTTACCCAGCACGGAAACCTCAACACCGGAAGCCACTGTTTCTTGAAGGCTCCTCTTTAATACCGGGCTGACACAGTCCTCAGGCTAGAAGGAACTGGTTTTGGGCTTCCCATAGCCAAGTTTTACCCCTATTTTGTGCACAGAATAAGATTTTATTCTTCAATCAGAGAAAGATAAAAGAATACAGAAAATTCTTTCCACTCTCAATAAATCCTGAGTATCTATTACCTGAATGATACCTCAAAGTTTCCTTATTAAAGGACAGAGAATACTTAGTAAGTCTTCCCTTTCATATTACTGCAATAAAATTCTTACATCTTTTCTACTGCCCTCACCCCAACGCCCACTCCTCACTCAGATCAGGCAGGGGTTAACCCGAGGACACCCAAGAGATCACATACACAGAAAAGCAAAGAGGAGCAGAATGCTTGTGCTCCTGATCATGATTCATCTCTTGCCATCTCTGCCAGGACAAGTTAAATAATTTGCAGGGTCAACCACAAAATGAAAATGCAAGGTCCCTTTTTCTAAAATTGGTAACAGGTTCAAGAGGTGACAACAGAGCATTAAACCAAGCAGAGGCCTAAGTGCAGGGCCTGTGTGACTGCACACGCCATAGGCCCCTGAAGCTGGCCCTGACCACTGCTTAGTTCACTTGCCACTTAGTCTGCTTGTTACTGACCAACCCCTAACTCATGCTCCCTTTAGATTCACTCCCTTCTGAAGCATCCTATAAACATCCTCCATATAAAATGCTCTTAAAGCAGACATCTGGTTCTGTCACATCCCTACTTAAACCCAGTAATGAAGCTCCTACAGGATAATGTCCAAGTAACCCATGAACTTCAAGCTGCTCCTCCAGCTGGCCTCTAATTACCTGGTCATCTCCGTCTCTTTCCACTTCCCACTTCACATGCTCTGACTCGCCAGAGTGTCAAAATGCAATGCCATTTAGGTATCAGGGTCAGCCTTCAAACAACCAGAGAAAGAAGGTAGACAATGCTGGGCCGAGCTCTACACAAAGTTTAATTTCCTGTCGATAGTCGTCTGTCCTCTTGGAAGATACAGAGCTAGCTACCAGACATGCCAATCTGTCAGCATAGAAAGCTCAAACACCAGAACATCGAATGATGTTTTAATTATGCTTGAGATTTGTAGAACTATAAATGTTATTATTTCTGATCCTATTTTAGTTCAAATTCTCAAATGTCCTAAGATTTAGAGATTTCATCATTCTGTATCCTTTATTTATTTGTTGATACTTAGAGAAAATCTTTATTGTACACTTGCTGTATATTGGGTACTTGCTAGGTGCTGAGACCACAAACATGAACAATAAAAAAAAAAGATATAACTCCCTCTTCTTAAGGAGTTTAAAGTTAATGAAGACAATTCAGTTAACAAAGTAATTATGATATAATACCTTGTGGCTATCATTTATTAAGCTCCTACCATGAATAATGAATAGACTACAGTATTGGGAATTTCATATTTGTTAATCTTTACAAAACTGGGGTCTTCCTACTCTTATTTGGAAAAAGGGAAAACTGCACTCAAAAGTATAGATAACAGGCCACAGGCTATAAAGTAGAACTTAAGATTTGTTTGATTACAAAGCAAAGTTTCCACTACGTTCCAATGCTGCATCTCACATATACTGAGAATGGTACTCTAACACCAGTATATACAAAATGAAGTGACCCTATCCTGGGTTATCTAGCAAGCTGGACAGAAGAGTGTAAGAACTGATTGGTCTTGTGGACAGCAGTGAAGGCAGAAGAAATAGCATGCTGAAGGAAAAACACATTACCAGGCCCCAAAGCACCATGTGGCTGGAAGGAAAGCACCATGTGTGCAGTTTTGACACATGAAGCCAAAGTTAGGCAAGGGCCACATCATGAGGACTTAGCAGACCATCTTGAAGAGCCCGAGGTTTATTCCATCAGTGATAAGGGGTCATTGAGAGGATTTATATGGGAAATGACACATCAGGTCTGAATTTTAGAAAGACATTTGGTTACCAATTTAGAGAACAGAGTAAAGAAGAAAGAGACCACGAGCAGAAAGATCACTCAGAAAGTCACTGCAGATCAGGCAAAAAAGTGAAGTTAAACTGAGCAAAGTCAGTGGGAAGGAGAATAAAACAAGGGAGCCCATTTTAAAAGATACATAGTAAGAAGAGAGAACTGGTGTCCAATTACGTCAGGCTTTTGTGATGTATCATAAAGGAATCTAGGTACATTCTAAGGGTTTCTAACAAATATATGAGTGAACAGTTCTTGAATTCAACTACTCACTCAGATCTACAATTCCAAGTGAGAGGACCTTTGAAATTTTCTCTATTGTTATAATTTTCCATTTAAGGAACTGGATCACCTTATTTTCTTTTTTACAATTGAAGCAAACCTTCATTCTCCTTTCTGAATCATGTTGTTGTTGTTTTGTTTTTAATGGAAGGCCTATTTGAGTTCAATAATAACATGGACATGTTTTCTTTCTTCTCAGTTACTTTTTAAGAAACAAGGTGCTATTCCAGAATAAAACGTCGAACAGCTTGTGTGTGGGGAACGCCTCCACTGCTGCAGCCCTCTCCCACACGCAGCATCTCCACGAGCATGTTCAGCCCGATCTCCTTTGACACAGCTGGGAAGAGTTATATTCCCTATTCTAAAATGAAGAGCATGAGACTTTCAGCGAGGCTCTGCCATTCCCACCCAAATACAGAGAGAACACAGGTCACAGGTTTTCTGAAAACATGTTCGTTGGTCTCTACGACTCTTTCTTCTCCCAGACAGATCTGAATTTTATTAACCAGTCACAAAGTAACTCACCAGTACATTGTAATTAAGCATGATCATTTATTTTTTTTTTAAAAAGGAACCCAGCAACTTTCAGGATCTGGGGAAGCTAAGGCTCAAGCCAGTTTCTATTAAATAAGGATTCATCTGGTCACTTTAATTTCCTGCTCACCCTCTTGAGACATGTGTGATTGGATTCAGGCAGTTTGCACAGTGCAGTAGATCAGCTAATTGCTCCTCTGCTTACTATAAGCACAATTGGCTACATTGGTTGGAAAGCCAACCCAGGGAATAGGCTATGAAATTGGTACTGAACTTGGGCAGCAGCCTGGCTGATCAGGAGACTGAATGAAAAGCTAAAACACAAAGCACAGCTTGTTTGGTTTGCTCTGGTTTTTTTTAACAGTAATTTCTAGTGGCGGAGACAGATGTTTCTTGAAGTAGCAAGAGATTTGCAAAGCAGAATGTTATAGCACTTACTGTAATTGCTTTATTAATATTGTATGTGTTTATGGCTTCCATCTTTTGGCTTGTGACACCTCTTACTTTAAATGACTTGGGTTTCCTGATGACTGGCAGTTAATCTTTACTTCAGAGATCCTCTGAATCACATATCCAGCTTTTCTCCTGCATAGTGAATTATTTCATTTGAAGCCACATTTTTGTTTGCTTTTATTACATTTAGAAGCCCTCAGGGGGCACTGGAACACCATCAGAGACAGCAGGCCTATATGCAAAGGAACCTCTAATTTGCTGGGGAATAATCACCCAGTCACGTGCCCATCCCTGCAAAAGAAATTATTATTTCCCTGGCCAAGTCTCAGGCCTGAATGTCAGCTACAGTATCATGAGAAGGACCTAAGAAACTGTAATTCAGTTTCTTGAAAAGACTGAATCTATTTGGGGGAATTAAGTTTGCAATAGGCATAGCTAAAATAACCTCTTTTTAGGTGCTTGGTTTACTTTGCTTGGAAAAGTTGAGACAGTATTTTAATTCTCATTCGATGTGTTACTAAGAGGGAAGAAAGAATTCATAAGGAAATAGACCAGCAAATGAAATTAAATTTGGAGTTGGTATTTTCTGAGAAGGTCTGTTGGTGTACCAGGGGTACTGTGTGTCCTTCCTTCCCTTCCCAGGCCCACGAGAGCTGGCTCTGAGTTGTTCTTGGATATTCCTGCAAGGTCTTGCTCTCCAGTGTGCCTGCTCCTCCTCAGGCTTTCATGGGGGAGGAAAGGGGCTTCTTTTGTGGAGTTTTCATCTCTGTGTCACGTTGATATCATTATTGTTGTGATTTGCTTCAGGACTGCCTTTAACGACAGCCTGTGGTGTAAGTGCAGACTCTACTCAGGCAAAAGCCATAGGGGTGTGTGGGAAAAGTAGCAAAGCCTAAGGAAAGGTTCTGATGACCAAGTCATTTCTGAGACATTCTGGGACTTCCTTCTGAAACCAGCCAGCAGCAGAGGGCCAAGTACCCATTATTCAGCACTCCACACGATGCATGACAGTCAAATTCTTTTGTGAAAATACAACTGGAGGCCTCCGTATTTGGTGAAAAAGGAGCATCTTTCTTTAATTCACGTCTCTAGGAGAAAGCCTACTCATTATTTAATTTTAATCCAGCCTGTTACATTTTTTCCATGCCAAGAAATAGCCCTGCGATAATACATAATACATGGCACTGGACAAAACCTTCACTGGAGGTTTTAGAGGAAATGCTGTTGAGAGGTACAATGTAGCAGCCAGCAAAGTCACCTCTCCAGGCATGTGGCTGAAGGCATATTAAATGAGTCAATATAGAGTGTTTACATACAGGCAGAAATTATTTGATGGAGATGGAGACAACCTTTGTGTACTTCAGTCTCCATCTACGCACATGACCTTTCTTCAGTAACGCGTGTGAAATGGCTTTTAGAACAATCATAGACAAAGAAAAAGGATTGCATATATATTTCCCAGATGCTCCATTACTGTTGCCTTTAGTTTGCAGATATTAAGAAATGCAGCCAATTAAAAAAAAAATTTCCGGGTCAAAAAATATTAAGAGATAAAAAATTATTGGGACCTGCATTCAATGATGACATAATCAACCTCTGTTTTTTTCTTCAATAATCAGCATTCCCCTCCCTCAAATTGCATCTAATCCCTCTCCTTAAAAAAGACTGAAATGCTACTTTGCTAATATGAATTAAAAATATAAATAGCTATAGAAGTTACTTTTCATGTACTTAAGCTAATAACATCTTGCAGGTAAACAAAGATTATTTATAAAGACCAGGTTAATATGTAATATTATTAAAATACTACCATTTCCTCAAGCTGTTCAACTGCACAACCAATCTGACACATTAACATACTGCATAGTAAAAAGACTGCACTTGCTACATTCTCCCCAGATTTTGTTTCATTTAAAATATTGTGTATAAAAAAAAAGTCATATTCAAGAGACTGCTTATCCACAACATCTCTGAAGTGCTTTGACAGCTATGAGACTTTTTTTTAAGTAACTGAGCCATGTATATACATGCATTTGTTCCCCCTTAATGCTTTTTTATTTTTTATTTTTTTGCTATCACTTACCAGCATTTAATTTCACTTTTCCTTATGATTAGTTCTTACACTGTGCATTTTTTGTGTGTGGAAACCAACTTTCCAAGTGGATACTGCTGACTGGTATCTACCATATCTTACCTGTGTCTTATATCTGACACCTTGCTGGCCCTCCGCTAAATTTTTTTCTATAGAAAAAAAAATGAAAGAAAGGCAGGCAGGTGGGCAGGGAGGGAGGGAGGGAGGGAAGGGAAGGGAAGGGAATGGGAAGGGGGAAAGAAGGAAGGAGAGAAAGAAAGAAACTCCTGGATATTTTCCCTCCAATTTCTCATTTTCTTCAATTCCAAGATGTGCAGTTCTCAAGAATATTATGTTCCCTGGGCTGATCAGTATTCTATTTCAATAAAACCACAGGACATAGCTGTTGGGCACAGAAACTAAATGTCATGAATTCAGTGCCCTGCTACTTGGCAGGAAACTGGCTGCATGCTTTTTATTTAATGTTTTTTTCACCTTCACTGTCTTATTGTGCTTTTTTCCACAGAAGTTAGACAGTAATAACAGTACATTTACACACTGCAGTTAATGATTGTAATAGTATAAGGTAAGAGGATAAATACTTATTAACACAAAAAAAGTACAGTATAGCTCTACAATGAATAGAAAAAATTATTTCAGCAGTTAATGAAAACATGGATACATTTGACAGAATTATTTAGAGGAAGAAAATTGCTTGCATGCCTCCTGGGGACAAATTAACTGGGTGTGTATGTGTTTAATCCTTTCAAGACTGTGAAGTATAATTGTTATAAACTGCCACCCTCCTTGCCTCCTACCCAAGTCTGAGTAGGCACCCCCCCAGTTCTATCTTACCTTTTGGTAACTAATTTGAGTTTCTCTTCCCAAGATGCACCACAATGTCTGCAGGAAAGGAGGCTAATAATGACTTCCTAGGAAATTCTAGATTCTGTTCCCTGGGGTTAATTGTTGATCGAATAATGGACAATCACAGGTAGCCATTTGAATGAAGATGGGGGGTGGGTGGTGCTATGGATGGAACAAGGGAAAAAAGGATACTTTCAGAAAACATTCCATAGATTATCTAAATTCATTTTTATCATTAATTAACACTTTTATATCTTTTGATACTGCTCTGTATATTAACTTGCTGGCCTAGCCTAATAAGATAAAAGATAAATACGTATGACTGGGCTTTCCATGACCATCTTGTTTCTTGCTAATCTAGCCATTGACAAAGAGCTTTGTCTAGAATAAATGGAATATATACCCTCAAGGAGAAGGTACTCATATATAGAGAGCTAATCTATCAAACCTCAGATGAGTAAAATAATCTTAGTTAAATCCATTAGGAAGTAATTTAATAAGATGAGTAAATGAGTAGTGTAGGGCTAGGATCTGATACTTTCTGATTAGAAATGACATGAAAGTGAAGAGATTCTTTTGAGGCAATTAACTTACGAAGGAAATTAATTTTATAGTTCTTGCAGTTTGAGATGAATCACTTAACTATTTTGGCCCTCAGCTAAATCATAGTATCTATAAAAGAATAGGGTTGGCCAAGGTGGCTACAACTCTAGAATTCTTTGATTTAGGTTACATTTAAAATTTTTGACTATTACCAAAATGGAAAAAGACTTCAGAAGTTGAGAACATAGATCTATCATCTTAGAATTCTTGGTAATACAGACTTCAGCAAAGTAGACTTCAGTAAGTTGAATGTAGAATATATGTAGGATTCAGCTTCCAGATAATCGAAAAATCTCTCCCAAGAAAGATATGAGACAAAAAAAAAAAAGAAAAAAGGCAATCACAGAGAGGAAGAAAAGGGTAACAATTCAAGGAACTGTGTCACTTGTAAACAGACATGAAAATGGAGTTTAAAGTGAAGAGGTTTACTGGGAGAGAAGGGTGATTACTGTGGGAGACAGAAGGAGGCAGGATTGGGCAGGAAAGCCATTAGAACAGTGCACATCTGACCCTTCTGAAAGGAAGGCAGGGAGGGCAGGAGGGCTTTAGACAAACTCAACCAACCCCATAGAAACTGTGGGTACAAGACTGCTGATCAGACACGTCCTGTCAAGATGGCCAGGCCCTAGAATCCATCCATGCTCAGGAGCTGGCTGAGGACTTCCCAGGTTTGTAGCCTTGGCTGGATCTCACCATGGTTTTGATTTGCATTTTCCTGATGATTAGTGATGTTGAGCATCTTTTCATATAACTGTTGGCCATCTGTATGTCTTCTTTGGAGAAGGATGGCTATTATCAAAAAAACCCAAACAATAACAAGGGTTGGTGAGGATATACAGAAAAGAGAACCATGTGGTCCCTTAGTGGGAATGTCAATTGGAACAGCCACTATGGAAAGCAGTATGGAGGTTCCTCAAAAAATTAAAAGTAGAACTACCATATGATCTAGCAGTACTACTTCTGAGTATATATCCAAGGGAATTGATATTGGGCCTTGAAGAGGTACCTACATGCCCATGTATCAGTATCATTCACAATAAGCATGACAACAACCCAAATGCCCATGAACGGACAGTGTAAACTATTTTTAATTTAATACAATTTTAGTTTTCCATTTTGCTCTGTTGTATCTTATAATATTTTGTATTATACCATGTGTGATGTGCTAGTGTATGTTGTATAGTAGCATCTAAATACATTGTTGATCTTACTCCCAATAGATGGATTCATTTTTTTCATGTACGAATGCAACACTGTAATGTGATTATTTGAGTATCTTAAGAAAACAACCACAGATAATCATACCTATATAAGTTTAACTGATAATTAAATTGAAATGACTTCTTTTAAAATGATAATATTATTAACTTAATTTTCTAGTTCATCAACATAAGTATGGAAAATGTTTAATTTAAAATAAAGACATATAAGTGGAGGTATAGAGTTAGAATTATGACTGCAGCAATGAAGAAAAATGATTTGTCATATATATTAAATGGAAACTAAGATTTGTTGGGGTGAAACTAAATAAAATAACTGCTGTATAATTTTTTTTAATGAAGTTCAAATGTATAAACTGTCAAAACTTATACAGAGGGTATGTTTTTGTGAAGGTGTTTTGGGGTAAGATTAACATTTAAATCAGTGTACTTGAATAAAGTATATTGCCCTTCATGTTGTGGGAGGTCCTCGTTCAATCAGTTAAAAGTCTGGATGGATTAAAAGACTGACTTCCCTCAAGCAAGCAGGGATTTTCCACAAAATGGCCTTTGGATTTGAATCTCAACACTGGCTCTTTTCTGGGTCTCCAGCTTGCCAGCCTACCCTGCAAATTTTGCCAATTCCTTAAATAAATCCCTACATGTGTAGGCATCCTATTGGATCTATTTCTCTGGTAACCCTGACAAATGCACACTGTATCTCACACCACCACTAAGAAGGAAAGCCCCATTGCCAAGCTCCAGCATTATTTCATTCCTATGGATGGTCAGAGAACTTACTGGAACTCCCTATTTTCCTTCCTTTGGATATTCTGAAGGCTCTGTTTTTGAGAAGAACTCACTCCAGAAACTGACACCCCCTGAGATTGTGGACCTGGGTCCTCATAGAAAGGAGAGTTTAAGGTTAAGCCTTGGAAAGCACAGAGTTGAATGGGTATAATTTTGCACCTTTGATTCTTTTCCTGTCTCTGTGTTGACGGTGAAAGACAAGCAAAGAATGAGAGCCTGGAACTTAATTCTCAGTGTCCTTTCTCTAGGTCAGCTGTAGACATTCATTATTCATGAATAATATGCTTTTCTAGATTGAATTAAGATCAGTTTTCTTTTCCTACTATTCATTTTTAAAGTGGGTAAAATAATTTTCCATTCTTTCTTCTCGGAAAAACTCAAGTAACAAAGGTTTCCTGCATGAGGTCTTCAGCTGATATTTCCACCAGACAGTCCTTTGCTAAAGACGGGCACAGATCCTCAGATCTTTAACAACAACTGACTTCATTCTATACGGTTCTGTTCCTGGAGAATAGATGGAATAGTATCTTATAAGAGGCTTTCAGAGTCTCAGCATTGCTCTGCAAGCCAGCCCTAATTCATGCGGATGACTGTCCCAAGGACACAGGACATGGAAGGCAGCTGTTGAACAATGTTGAGAGACTGTGCTCGGGCGTCCTGAATCACTTAAAAAGCTTAATTACTACCCATGAATAATGGTGTTTTGGATTTACCCTAGGAACTTCTACCTCACCCAGGTAGATGGTCTATGAATTTTACATGGAACTCCCAGGCCCCAGTCTAACCTCTGCCCTGCCCAACTTTTTCCCCTAGAAGGATGTTGTTCTACCACTTCTTGAGAGTTTTCATCTTAAGTGTCTCTCTGCTCTAACATGACTTAGAAAAGTGAGAAAAGGAAAAACAAAATTCAACCTCTTCTAGGGACTAGGCCTAGAGTTCCATTACCTGAATTTGATGTTTTTCTCCAATACTGATTAAAAAGAACAGGAGGGAGAGCCACAACCTCAAAATACAGAAAATCAAATAAAAATTCCCTGGGAAGCAGAACTTGAGCCCATCCCTGGGACAAAAAATATCCATAGAAAAGGACATTTATTCCTCATCATCTTGCACACTCTGTATCCACAGGTAACTAACTAGGTGCTGAGAATACACACCCCAGACTGGAGCTCCGGGCCTGTATCACACAGCTACGGGACAGTCATGGAGGGTCCTGATGGTGAGCGAGGTAACAAGAGCGGAAATATAACTCAACATCCAGGCCACCAGATGCCCCCACCCTTCTCTGGACCTTAGCATTTTCCATTCCTCCTTCATCATATCATATACATACATTAGTATAACTTCCTACTTATTCCTACACATGTTAGCTGGGTCCGCCTTTTACCCTTGAAGACCTTGGCTTTGAACCTATCAATTCTACAGCCTTGAAAGTCTGACATTTACCCTAGAATTTTTGCTAATTCTCTGGAATTTACACTCTTGCAAATCTCCTCCATTGTCTATGCCAGCTTCTCCACATAATCTATTTTGGCCTTGCATCAACTCAGACACAAATCTCAGCCTCCCCGTCAAGCATCCCCAAAAACTGCCACTTCCACAAAAAATCATTAGTGAGCAAAGCAACCTTTACTTAAGGTTCTATACAAGCAATAAAGGGTTGATAGCCCATCCCACTACAAACAATTTACATTTTCTTCTATGTAATTGCTTTCCATTCAAAGTGCTTGTTTGGATTTTTATGCCCTTCAGGCTCTCAGCTCCCCACCCCCACCCACCTGAACAGTGTCCCACCCTCCTAGCCCTCCCTCCACCCTCCTAGGTCCCCACACCCCCACCTCCACCTCATTTCGAATTCGTTTTTATACAGAATATATCAGCTCTCTCAACTCCCTACCCTAACCTAGATAACCAGATATATCCTGATTTGGAGGATGAGTGAGGAGCTCTCTTTGGCACAACTGATTTTTAAAAGGAGCAGCTGGAGTCATACAGAACAATATCTCCAGTTTGTTTTGAATCACATCTATAGGTTACTTCTTTTACAAAGGTTTCCTAATATTTCCCATGTCTTTACTAAATTTTCACCAAAATCCCCATTGGCCTTTCAATACTTACTGAAAATAATTTATGGCCATTACCAGGGGCTGGAGGAAGAGAGACACGGAGTCATTCAACAGTATAATGTTTTAGTTACACAAGATGAGTAAGTTTTAGAGCTTTGACATACAACATGGTACTACCAATACCATGTTGTATAGTTACAGTTTTGTTAAGAGGGCAGATCTTAAGTTGGGTTCTAACTCCAAACAACCACAGCAATAAAACCAAATGGGCAGGAGGCAACTGTTGGAGGTGATGGATATTTATACCTTGGCCACAGTGATGGTGCCACAAGTGTATGCATATGTGACAACCTGTCAAGTTGTATACATAGTATGTGAGCTTATTTAGATACCAATTACACTTTCATAAGGTTGCTAAAAAGTAGTTGATATCGTGGTGAATATATGTCTGTTTTATGTATTCATGTTAGCCAGGCAGTTAAGAGATTTGTACTATATAAGGCCTCGCTCTTAAGATTTTAAGCTGGAGATTTCAAGCACTGTAGCCTTTCCTTATTTTGATTTCTTCCATTCCTTTATTAATGCTAATGAATCACTTTGCCCAGGATTTCTATACCTTTGCCATCCCAGGGATGGACCTTCACCAGAGCAGACAGCTCCTCTCTTTCAGTCTCCCTCTGCATCAGCAGCTCCCTCAGAGTTGCCTACCCAAAAAATGCTGACATTTCCAGCTCTGTCCTACTCTTATTTACTCTCTTTTGTGAATGAAGAAAACATTTCTGTCCGAGAAACCCCTTGTCACAGCCTAGTATCTCTGATATCATCATTTATGGCCTCACTCTATCCTTGATTTATAGGGAGCCGAAAGACTCCCATATCTACAAATATCCTTCAGAGTTACAGCAAAATAAACTCTAGGAAAACTATTTCCAGGTAGAAGAAGGGGCTCTAAAAATGGCCAAGCAGCTGCATTCTTTAAAAATGTCAAGGTCATAAAAGACAAGGAAATCTGGGGAGCTGTGCCAACTAAAGGAACTGAAAGGAACACGACAAGGAAATGCAACATGTGATTCTTAGCTGGATTCTGTACCAGAGGAGGAACATGTTATAAAGGACATTGCTGGGTAGGTAAACTGAAAAAATTGAAGTAAAGATGATAGATAAAATAAAAGTCTAGTGTTCATGTTAAATTACTCAAGTTGATAACTATACTGTGGATATATAAGGGAATATTCTTGTTCTTAGGAAATATATACCGAAGTATTTAGAAGCAAAGGGCCGTGATGCATGCAACTGAATTTCAGAAGTATGGAAAAAAGAATAATGTTTTTCTAGATAGAAAGGAGCAAATAGGACAAATTATAAATGAAGTGAATCTGGATAACAGATATTGGGGTATTCTTCACTATTCTTGCAACTTTTCTGTAAGTTTCTAATTATTTCCTAATAAATGATTTTTTAAAATAGTTCATCAGTCATTCCCAGTGAGTTTTAACTTTCCTTGAGATAAATAGATTGATACTGAGTTGTTACTTTTATACCAAACTTCCCAAAGCGAGAAATTCCAACTTATAAACAGTTGTATTAGGTTATATCTTAGGCAAAAACACTGGGTTGCTCGTAATACAACTGTGGTTTTAGAATCACATTTATACCATGATTTCAAATCCTTACACTTTAATATACCAGCCTCATGACTTGGGAAATATCATTTTACTTCTTTCTCAGTTTCTTTATCTGGATTGAGATAAAAATCCTTGGTCACATAATAAACGATAGTTATGAGTAAGAATATTGATAGAATCAATAGGTGCTTTACCAGACCTGAAATGTCTTCATGAAGAAGGTCCCAATGTGCCTGACTGTGTCCGGCAGATTTCCTAGCCCAGTAATCCATGGGATCCAGTCCTACAACTGGTTCTCCTTGCCAAGGAGATGGAGTGCTCTCTCCCCCTAATTTTTGCATGTTAATATCACTGCCCCATAATGCTGATCTTCTGAGGACCAGCTGCAAAGCAGACCCCACTGCATTTCAGCCTTTCCATGGTGATCCTCCAGAGAGTTCTTTCACCTCAGGCTTTTCTCCTCCTGTACACCCCCTCCCAGGGTTAGGTTAGCAGATTTCACTTAGTTCTATTTCTCTTCAAAGCTTTTTCTACAGTGGGATAAATCTGCCCCATGTTTCATTTACCATGTCTCATGTTGACTTTGGGTAGTTTTCCCTTATTCCCTTATTCTTCATTTTCTCTTTGGAAATCAGTTGATAGTTGTCATTCCCTACCAACAGAAACATTCTGTTGTCAGCCTCCTATAGAACAGAAACAAATATTCAGTATAGGTATCCACTATTCAGTGTAAATATCTAGAAAGCAATCTATGGCTGCTTGGAGAGTATGAACTGCACTTGGAAACTGCAGATTGCCAAATCTAGGGAAGGAGGGTGTGCTTCATCAGATTCTTGATTGAGGTAATTGAAATTTCCAATTTGAAAGCTTAAGGCAATACAATTTCAGGCTCTTTGGATAGCCCAATTTTAAATATTACTGAGTGATTTTTATTAAAAAGAAAAGAATACAAAGGTTTTGACACTTGGCACACATAGTTATAAATACAGACCAAAATACAGGTGTGTTTTCAAAGAAGTTTCTTTAAAAGCAATTAAAAAAAAATTTCAAATCCAATTTTTTCCAGGTGTTACTTTTAAGAAATCCTACATAGAAGTTGCATTTTAGGATTTCATATAATAAAATCACATTTGACAAAGAAAAACCTTTCAAATCATAACATAACTGGAAAACAATATGATAACCAAAATGCGTGCTGCCTTCCTTCCCCAAAAGAGAAAATGATTAATCACCTTTATTCCCAAGTCAAATAAGAGGTCTCAAGAATGGAATCATAGGACAATAAAGATGTATACTAGGCCTTGGTAAGGATCTGAAATGTAAATTAGTTTAACTCTATTTTATAAAATAAGAAACTGAGGCCCACAGAAGTTTTTCCCAGGACTAATCCTCTGAGGATAACACATCCCGGTCTTCATTCATCTCCTTGCTCCTTGCTATTGTTCTACTTCACAGCCCCACACATTTTACCCATTCCAGAACGGCTTCAGATATCTTCCTGATGTACTCATTTCCATTCCAGTTGTTTTCCTTCTGTGATATGAAGATTCTTCTCAGCTCTAATGGAAGACCCCACTTGTGCTCACTGAAATGCAGTGTGACAGCATCTGCATCTTGGAGCCTTTTCTCATTGCTTTTGTCTACTGCCAATTACCCAACATTATTGAACTACTACTGAGTGAGAGGAACTGTAGGATCCACTGAGGATGTACAGTAGAGTAAGACACAGTTCCACAGGAGAGCACTGACTGCTCCTTGCCTTATTTCTCCTGCCCTTACTGTGGGTGTAAGCCATCTACTAGTTTGCAAGTATCTTAGTTCTTGCTTTTTCCAAGTGATGTGGACATGATTTCACTAATAGGAGATATTTGTTGACATGAGCACTAATACTGTCTGCCCATCTATTGATCAGTCCATTTTTCTGTCCATGCGCCTATTCATTGCCTCAGCTGAAGATACTACTCTGTTGCCTCAAGCAGCAAATTCCATGATTTACTACTAGTTGGCTTAGCATAGGCACGTTTAATTGTATCACCTATTTCTCATTATGAATGGTCTTCTGTCCATAGGGTAAATAGTTCTGAATTATGTAAAAGGAAAATCTGGCATACCGTGGTGCTTACTCTTGTCCCCTCAGGGGTGATCATTTTGTTAAGTTGCTTCCTGTGTCATATTTTATTTTAAAATGACATTTAAAAATAGTACCATATAATCAAATCTTCCCAAAATACCAGAAAAGAGTCAGTAAACCTCTAGAAACTTGAGTCTTCATGTTCTTAATGGTTAGGCTCTAAATTAACAGTTTAGAGACCCCACCTGCTGTCAAAATAATTGTGCCAGCTCTTCCCTTAATTTTTATGAGACCTCAGAAGACTCCAAGATTTTTTCCTTCTTGGAGATTTCCTTTCCTTTCCACATTATATTTCTCATAAAGTACTTCAATACATGTTTTGACTCAAGAAAAAACTGAAAAGAGGGACTATTTTCTTTGTTAAAATACAAGTTTTCTTGGCAGGGAGGGGCTCTGAAATAAGGGAGCAGCCCTGTTAAAACTTTGAGCTATGCTTGAACACATCCTAAAATGATTAAATTGTCTGTTCCGGTTATAAATTATAAGCTGGGTAGTTTAAAGCCAACTCCCATTGACTAATAAAATGGAAACCATTGGGGTAGGCCAGATACTAGTTTTCTGTGAACGGCTTCTTTATGAATCGCAATGCGAAATGTTGAGCACAAGTGACAGTAAACAAAAGTTAGATTAAAAAATGCCTGTAGGGTATGTGATTCTCAAGAATTATGGAATCTGTTTCTGCCTCCAAATAAAGACTACTAATAAATTATAAGCACATCCAGTGTAGCTGCTGATACAGTAATAAATATTGATGTAAAACAAAGCTCAGAATACCTTCTTTTGCAGCCTGAATCTTGCAGTCCAGTCTGGCAGCTCTGTTATACTCAGATTTTAATGAGGAGAAACTTGTTTATTTTTTTAGATTAAGCAACAACAGAAAGTTCTGTGTCTGTCTAATATGAAGGCATTACAATTCACATAAGAAAAATGGATTCTTGAGGAGACAAGACTTTGTATAAATGCTAATCCCCCCAAAATATAAAATATTTGGTACCTCTAAAAAAACGATCACATAATAACAGCAATAAAAGATTTTAAATGTTTACATTCTTGGTATTTCATGTAAATCACCAAATTTAAGTGCCTACTTTCATTTTCCTTTACAAAATAGTAATATCTGTTATTTTATTTCCAACTGATTGTTTGCAGTCTTGCTCTTTGCTTTCCTCTCCTAAGTACTCCCATTTTGAAAACTTTGATAAGAAAGCTAAGCTTTTGTGACTGGCTTTTATTTTCACTATATGCTGAAAATCTGGAAGTGATATGCAATAAAAGAATCCCCAGTTTGGAAATCAGAATACTGGCTCAGTGTCTGCCCTGAGTTAACTGTGAGATCATACAAGACCTCATTGTGCTGACTTCACACCTCTACGTTTCATTTATGACATGAGCATATTGGCCTGGCTGACCTGTACAATCCCTCCTAACAGTAAATCATGACTTTGCAAACTCAAGCTTTGTACCTCCAAGGGTGATTAAAATTACCTCAAGAATGTAAAAACAAGAGAGATGTCCAAGCCCTATCTCCACATTTTCTAATCTATGATCTGGGGTGCGACCCAGCCACGAATATTTTTAAAGCCTTCCACATGATTTTAATGTTCAGCCAGGGTTGATAACCACAGCTCCATAAAACCCGCTCAGGCTTCCCACTTCTCAGTACTTGCTTGATAGCTCTGAAACCTTGCATGATAATCTGAATCATCCAATTTAGCATTTCTTTGTACTGCTAACTTCCTTACCAAATTGTAAATATTCTTTCTTATGTTGTCCACTGCGTCTACTGCTGCTCATGGATAAATTTATGATGATTTTTGATGATTGCACCACTTTCATTTATTGTCCACATTGAATTGCAAAATGTTTATAGCTCTGATTTGGTAAACACTGAAGTTATTAAGCTTGCTTGGTTTTCTACCCTGTATTAAAACCATCACCATTTAGCGCAGTTAGTCTATTAATGAGGCTTCTGGCTAGACTCTAAGCTGCATAGCAGCAGGGATCATGACTAATCCCCGCTGTATCCCTACTACCTAGTACCCGGCCGGACTCATAGAGGCATTGAATAAATCATTGTTGAATGAATAATTTAATGAAAGAATAAGTACTTGAATAAATTTAATGAAAGAATAAGTACTTGAATAAATGCATTTAAAGTCATACCAGTGTAGTGTCCTGTTCATGGAAAGTGAGCATACAGTCATCTGGTGGGATATGTGTGTGTGCACGTGTGTACATGTGCATGCGCAGGGATGTATGTGCACATCCGTGTGCCCGTATCCATGTTGTGGTTGTGTGTTTTGCATATGTGTGAATGTGTATGGGTGTATGTGCAAGTTTGTGTGTCTGTATGCATGTCGTGGCTGTGTTTGTATGTGTACTTCAGATGCACAATCACTGTGAGCATCCTTAAGAGGATCCAAAAGTTGCTGAGTATTCCAAAGGATCCCTCAGCACCTCTTGGTTCTGCACAGCTGGTAGCTCTGCACACTGTAGCTATAGTCCTGGGAAATATGGTATTAATACTGAGTGAACAGATGGTATAGGGTGTGTTACTTAAGACAGTTTTGCCAGGAGGTAAATTTATGCTTTATAAATGTACTTCAAAACTATGCTATTTGATTTAATCACTTAATGCAAAGACAGCTGCATACTATATTTGCCTTAACTGCAGTTATATGGGTTATCTGCCAATCTGTTAATTATAGTATTTTGAAAGGCTTCAGGAAAAAAACAGTAATTATACAGATTGGGGCGGGGGGGGGTGGGGGTGGAGAAAGGAACATTTTTGAAGCCTAAATTCAGACATTCATTCCCAGCTAACACAAACTTATTGAAGATTTAGAAAACCTGTTAGGAAAGTGGGAGTAGATGTGATTTTTCCTTTGAAAAGGACTTGTGTGTGTGTTGCCATTCTGCATTAGTTACCATGGGTAACTCCCAGGGGATGGGAATGGAGTGATTCCAACTGGACAGAGCTCCATTCCACTCTCTGAAGTCTTTGAACAATGCTTTGTTCCTTAAAATTAAAAAGAGGAGGAGGAAGATGATCATATAGAGGAGGAGAGGGTTCTACTTTAATTTTAAATGTGATTCTGCCCTTTACTTTCTCATATTTCCCAATAATCTGCTTTCTCTCTGAGCTTCTATACCTAAATTTTCTCTGCTAAACAGTTACAGTAATGATTAAACAGATTTAATTAATACTATATCAGGGAAGAGTAATATTTTAAGCTTAGTCTGACAGCTTCCTTTTCTTGCCAAGGACTTGCTGCCACATACTTGTAAGAGAAGTCTGGCCCATTTCCCCTGTCCCCTGGGAATTTATATTCCATGAATTTCATTGTCATTTTGAGAACAAGATTTCCTCTCTGTGAGCAACTCTACCAGGATCAAAGGTTTGAATGGGACCCAGGCTGTAAATCAAAGAATTATGGAATGAGCATTACAGATTATCTGGTCCAACTCCCACTGGGGACCCAAAGACTTAACTGACTTGCCTTCCAAAATTAAAGAAAGATGGGGACTTCGACCAATGTCAGGAAGGGGAAAATTTCTCCCTGTCCCTCTTAGTTCTTTTGACACAGGCAGATTGAGAGGGGCATAAAATTTGTGTGTGTGTATAGTGATCTTGTAGATACGGGACCTAAGAAGTGACTAGATCAAGCTGTTCTAATTGGTGGTGAAACTGCAGAGTTTGTTTACTTGGCCCTGAATCCCTTGTCTCTAGAGATAAGGACATCTCTCTCCCTCCTGGTGCAGGGAGGTCACCTGTCACATGGAGATTCATTTCCTGCTTTCAGGTGGACAGAGAGGAGGCCAGAGTGCTCCTCTTGCATCATCTGTTTCTCAAGGAACTTTAATTCAAAGTAATCAATAGGCCACTTTGGCATATTTTTGAGGCAGCCTGCCTTGAGCCCCATCACCAGGGACCCTCTTATCAGTTTAGGCCCTTTTCATATGCATCACACTACGTAGAGCTAAAAAGTGACAAGAAATAAGCAGAAAGAGCACAGTTTATTTGCTTTGCTAGTCCAATACATGATTGGCTGGAGCTGCATTTGGGCAAGTGAGAAGCCAGAAATACTAAATTTCCTAACTGCCCGCCTTGGGCCTCCTATCCCACAGCATCCAGTGTCATCACCTTGAGAAGGTGCCCTGTGGAGGTGTGCATCCTAGCCTGAGTGCTGCCTGTTATGGGCTGGACAGTGTACCAAGTGCTTGCCAAACATCATTCAATTAAAACTGCTAATAACCTATAGTGCAAACATCATTTCATACACTTCACAGAGAAGGAAACTAGCTCTCAGAAGTTGAGTGATTTGCCTCAAGTCACAGAGCTGATTTCTAGTAGTCTCACATGCAGAATTGGACCTACTAGATGAAAAGGTTCTCAAGAAAATGTTTCTTGGCATCCTCCTAAAACAGACTAAAAATACTTCCCCCAGTTCCTATGTCTGTTCTCCCCAGTCTGGGTGGCTTGCTACTCCTAGGCTACTGAACGGCAGTTCATCTGACCAACAGCTTATCTTCAAAGACAGGCCCTATACAAAGTTCATCACGCCTCAACTGATAAACTGACATATGCTTAGGACAGGTCACCAAAGCCAACATTTAGGACATCTTCTTTTTCACAGGACATATGCATTTTCAGATAGTTGTGGTCATGCTCACACACAGGTGTTCATCTGACCTAAAGGAGTGTAATTACTTCTAACTTCTTGTGTGGGTCAGAAGGAGAGGAAAGGCCAAGGGTGGCAGCTGGAGGGGGAATAAGAGGGGAAGGTCGTGGCTTTTGATACCTCTCAAGCCATATGTAAGTGATTAAATACCTCATCTATGAAGGAGTTAGGAAGTATTTACATCTTCACTGGTCCCTATTCCCATCTCCTTGAGGCTACTTAGACCAAAATTACAGAAATGGTAGTCTCTCTGAGACTTCACATCTGTAGTTTGAACCTTTTTTATGTAAAAATGGCAAGTGTTTATTAAATTTTTTAAATGCATGCCTATGTTTGATCACAATTTTCATATGTTTTGGGCACTGTTTTATCAATATTCTTTGGTTGCTGTTTTCTCTGTTCCTCTTCTGACTTTTTATATCTCACATGTAAAAAAAAAGTATTAGTCATTTTTTAAATGAAGCAAGTTTATCCTCTCCCAGTTCATTAAAGAAAGTTCATGCATGGGAGGCCGGCATTCCTACATAGGAGAAATTCTTTCTGGTTTATTTTGAAGTGCTTTATGGCACATGTTTTTCTCTCTCTTTCTCTGTGTTTGTGTGTGCATGTGCACACAGGTATACACTTCCTTATGCTATAAAATAGATATAAAAAAGCTTATTTTGTAGAAATTGAGAATTTGATCTAAAACTCATATGGAAATAAAAAGTACTCAGAACAGTCAAAAGCACTTTGAAAAGAACAAAGTTGGAGGATTACTTCTACCATATTTCAAGGTTTATTCTAAAGTTAGAATAATCAAAATAGTGTGATATTAATGTAAAGGTAGCAAAATAAATAAACAGAAACAAATCTATACAGGAACAACTGATTTTCAACAAATGTGCAAAGTTAGTACAGTGGAGAAAGGATAGTATTTTCAACAAATGGTGCTGTAATGACTGAACATCCATATATAAAAAAATGAACTTGGATGTATACCTCACAGAGTATACAAAAGTTAAATCAAAATGAATCATAGTCTTCAATGTAAAACTTAAAACTGTTAAACATTCAGGAAAAAAGATACTAGAAAATCTTTGTGTCTTTGAGATAGGCAAAGTTTTTCATAAACACACCAAATGCATGATCCATAAAATAATAAATTGGTAATTGGACCCCATCAAAACTTAAACTTTTACTCTTTGAAAGACACTAATAAGAGAATCAAGAGAAAACCACAGGCTGGGAGGCAAACTAATACATTTATATATAATAAAGGACTTGAATCCAATATGTATATGAAGAAGCTCAAAACTCAATAATAAGAAAAATAAGCCAAGTTTTTTTTTTAATGTACAAAAGAAATTTGGAAAGACATATTACCCAAGAAGATATATAAATAGTAAATAAGCACAGGAAAAGTTGCTCAACATCATTATTCATCAGGGAAAAGCCAACTAAAACTAAATTACAATATCACTACATACCTGATAGAATGACCACAGTTTAAAAAACTGAACATACCAAGTGCTAGTGAAGATATCAAGAAACTGAAACTCTCATACTTTGATGGTGGGAATATAAAGTGGTACAGCTTGGAAGTCTCCTGTACACACACACACACACAGACACACACAAACACTTCTCTTATGACCCAGTAATTCTACTTCTATGTTCTATCCAAGAAAGAAAAATATTATATCAACACAAAAACTTTTTCAAGAATCTTCTTAACATCTTTACTTAAAATAGCTGAAAACTTGAAACAAATTTTATCATAGTGGTAGTAACAAACTATGAGTATCCTAACAGGAGAATACTACAAAGAAATAAACTACTGACATCTACAACTCAGATGATCTCAAAAAAAAAGGCAAGCAAAAGAAGCTGATACAAAGAGAATATGTACTTGATGTAATTTTATTCATATAAAATTCTAATAAAGAAAAACTGATCTGTAGTAACAGAAAGCATGTCAGTGGACTAGATGGGGTAACTGAGGAAACAGGAACTTGAAAAGAGACACAAACTTTTGCAATGTTGGAAATGACTGGCATGTAGATTTATCAAAACACTACGATCTGTTAAATTTGGTACATTTTATGGAATATAAATTATACCTTATTAAAGGTGATTTTGGCTATAGTCTGTTCAACTCCACAAAATATCTTGACCAGAGCACCTATTCAATAAAGAGATGTACATAATTTTCCATCCTTAATACAGCTCAATTTGTCCTTTACTTCAAAAAAAGAACGAATGGGCATCAAAGGAAGAAAAAAAAACCTTTTAGAGATGTGCCAGCTTGCTTTCAAAACAATTATTTAAATAACTGAGATTAAAATGTAACTGGCCTTTTCGGCTAAAGCAGATAAAGATCTGGGTTGCTGAAACTTGTTTTGCTGCTCTATGAAATAGCAGTAGTGTCATTGGCACTCATTAGGCATGAATCATGGCACAACTTTTTAAAGACTAGTAGAACAGTTGCCTTCTGAGCTGTAATGATGTGGGTGAGGTCAGGGTAGAGTCTGCAGGTTCAAGGTTTGTCAGGGGTTCATACAATTGTTCCCATTTACTAACAATGACCCTTTAACCTGCGTGTGTTCCCAAACCCTGATTTAGTCCAGTTTACACCATTTTTCCCTTTGGGTTGCAACTACAGCCACAGTTTTGGCAAAAACAAGAGTGGATATGAAGTCCAATATATAGCTTTGATTCTCACTCTGCCCTTTTTTAACTGTGTGATCTTAAACCAGTTATTTAACTAACTGATCTTTATTTTCTTCATCTGTAAAATGCAGGCTGTTCCCACAACAGGAGTTTGTTAAGTATTCAGTATTAAATACTCAATTAATGCTAACAGATAACAGAGGATGGCTGAACTACACACCACACACTGCAAGAGGATTAACTGACTTGCTCTTCAGGTCAGGTGGGAATTCAACAGGGGGAATCTTGGCAAAGTAGAACAAGTTGGAATGTTGGTTGAACTGGATTAAACATTGGGTTAACTAAGGTCATCTTATTTCTGGTTTAAGATTTTCAAGTGTCTCATTTAAACATAATCTTACCCATAGAGAGGAAGAAAAGGACCCCTTAGTAGACGTCCCAAACCCATATCCCCCAAAAACTTTCCCTAGTAACAGCTGCCAAATAAAATATCTTATTCAAATTGGGTAATATTCATTAAATAAACAGGAGTTCTGACAGATTTGCATTTCCAGAAAAGTTCAGTGTACAAATGAAGATCTTCATACCTGAAATACCAATGAGTACTGGTTAGCTTTAAGGTCTTCGGATTTCTCTTCTGTTCTAAGGAGATAAAGGCAACATATTTGAGGTTAACTAGGATTTTTTAAAGACAGAAGTATCAGAATCCACTGTGGTTTTCTCCCAAGTTGTCTCTTTTAAAAATATTATAACTTTGATATGAGCACACTGTATCATGTCCTTGTAGATTCCTAAGAAGGGCCAATGTAAACTAAACAATTGCATGAGTCATAATGGACTTTCACACCAAGAGGAAAGCTGAACTGAGCCAGGATGATTTTCATCTAAGAAGCTCTTCTTGCAAAACCTTTCCAGGAAGTTGCTTGTCAAGCCCTAGGCCACATCCAGAATTAAATCCCTTGCAAATCTCCAAAGTGAATTTGTGTAGGAGGGCCAGGGTACCAAAACTATTTGTGGGAGTTAGAAAAGAAAATTTTGGTGACATCATATAGACAATTTAGAGAAAATTCACCCTCTAAAGTCAGTAATTGACAACACTGTCTTTAAGAAGTGGCAGCTTGCTTGCAATAACCTCAAAGTTTGCTTAAAAATCCTCCACCAAAATAATTCAGTTATCTTTAACTGGAAAAAAAAAATGTGTCATGGAGCATTTTCTTGAGGGAAATAAGAAACTTCTTTAATGAAAATTAGCAAATATGAGTGTTAAAATTAATGTATCAGAGTTAGCCATATCAAGCATTTATTAATCTTGAGATGTTAGCTCCCATAAAGAAGGGATGAGTTCCAAGAATAGTTTTTGGACTTTTGATATACCCAATATATGCTAATTTTTATTAACAGTTGAGTATCCGCTCTATGCCCAGCACTGTTCTTAAAAATAGTTATTCAGAAGGATAGGTGGAGGTTTAACCATGGCTAATAGTTTTCTAAGAAAACCTCATATTTCTTTAAAATGTTTCTCTATAAAAGATGGCGGCGTGAGAGGAGAGACAGACGCTTCCTCCTAAAACTGGATATAATTAGAAAATACAGTTGACACAACTAATCCTGAGAGAGCAACAAGAATGAGGACGGCACCAGACAGCACCTGGACAAAAGAGCAGACCTCACTGAACAGGGTAACATACCAGAGCTGTGGCTCCGCGGGACCCGAGACCTTCTCCCACCCCAGCTCACTGGCAGGAGGAAGAGAAATGGAGCAGGGAGGGAGTGGAAGGCTTGGGACTACTGAATACCTAGCTCTAAAGATCTGCTCTGGGAGCACAAACCTACATTTCATGGTGCTTTCATGATACTCGCATGGTTACGGGGTTGGAAAGCTAATACAGGCAGAATTCCTTAAGAGACTGAGATTATAGCCCCTTGTGGAAAGCAAGGATCCATATCCAGCTGCTCTCAGACAAAAGCTTATACCTGTGTGCTCGGCCCACTGGTTAAGGCAGTAGAGACAGGCACAGCAGCCGGAAAGCGGGAAACAGCTCTTTTCTCCCCCCAGGCACCAATACCGCTCCCCTGCAACCCCCGACATTGCTTCAGGGGCTTAGCAGCTCCAGAGAGTAGAGCTTCTGGACACTAGAGGGTGCCACATACAAATATGAAATGCCAAAGGAACCTGGTCCAGAGTAAAATTAATATGACTCTGGAGAAATATTTAAATGACATGGACCTTACAACTCTTGCTGAAAAGGAGTTCAAAATAAAAATCATCAACATACTAATGGAGGTACAGAAAGATATCCAAGAACTCAGGAATGAATTCTGGTCAGAGATCCAATTGCTGAAGAACACGATGGAGGGTATTAAAAGCAGGTTGGATACAGTGGAGGAGACGATAAATGAAATAGAAACTAGAGAAGAGGAATACAAAGAGGCTGAGGCACAGAGAGAAAAAAGGATCTCTAAGAATGAAAGAATATTGAGAGAACTGTGTGACCAATCCAAACGGAACAATATTCGCATTATAGGGATACCAGAAGAAGAAGAGAGAAAGGTCAGAAAGTGTCTTTGAGGAGGTAGTTGCTGAAAATTTTCCCAGTCTGGGGAAGGAGATAGTCTCAGAGGCCATGGAGATCCACAGATCTCCCAACACAAGGGACCCAAGGAAGACAACACCAAGACATATAGTAATAAAATTGGCAAAGGTCAAGGATAAGGACAGACTATTAAAAGCAGCCAGAGAAAGAAAGAAGATCACATACAAAGGAAAGCCTATCAGGCTAACATCAGACTTCTCAGTAGAGACCTTACAGGCCAGAAGGGAGTGGCATGATGTATTTAATTTAATGAAGCAGAAGGGCCTGGAACCAAGATTACTTTATCCGGCAAGATTATCATTTAAATATGAAGGAGGGATTAAACAATTTCCAGATAAGCAAAAGCTGAGAGAATTTACTTCCCACAAACCATCTCTACAGTCTATTTTTGAGGGACTGCTATAGATGGAAGTGTTCCTAAGATTTAATAGCTGTCACCATAGGAAATAAAACCACAGTAAAGAAAGTAGAACAGCTAATTACTAAGCAAATGCAAAATTAAATTAACTATCCCCAAAGTCAATCAAGGGAAAGACAAAGAATACAGAATATGATACCTAATATATAAAGAGGAAGAAAAAGGAGGAGAAAAAGAAAAGAACCTTTAGATTGTTTTTGTAACAGCATATTAAGTGAGTTAAGTCAGACTCTTAGAAAGTAAGGAAATTAACCTTGAACCTTTGGTAACCACGAATCAAAAGCCTGCAATGGCAATAAGTACATACCTATCGATAATCACCCTAAATGTAAATGGACTGAATGCACCAATTAAAAGACATAGAGTCACTGAATGGATAACGAAACAAGACCCATCTATATGCTGCCTTCAAGAGACTCACCTTAAACCAAAGATATGCACAGACTAAAAGTGAAGGGATGGAAAAAGATATTTCATGCAACCAACAGAGAGAAAAAAGCAGGAGTTGCAATACTTGTATCAGACAAAATAGACTTCAAAACACAGAAAGTAACAAAAGACAAGGAAGGACATTACATAATGATAAAGGGGTCAATCCAACAAGAAGAAATAACCATTATAAATATCTATGCTCCCAACACAGGAGCACCTACATATGTGAAACAAATACTAACAGAATTCGAAGGGGAAATAGAAGGCAATGCATTCATTCTAGGAGACTTCAACACTCCACTCACTCTGAAGGACACATCAACCAGACAGAAGATAAGTAAGGAGACAGAGGCACTGAACAACACAATAGAACAGATGGACCTAACACATCTACAGAACTCTACACCCAAAAGCAACAGAATACACATTCTTCTCAAGTACACATGGAACATTTCCAAGAATAGATAACATACTAGGCTACAAAAAGAGCCTCAGTAAATTCAAATAGATTGTAATTGTACCAACCAGTTTCTCGACCACAAAGTTATGACACTAGAAATAAATTACACAAAGAAAATGAAAAACCCCATAAACACATGGAGGCTTCACAACATGCTCCCAAATAACCAATGGATCAAGGACCAAATAAAAATAGAAATCAAGCAATATATAGAGACAAATGGCAACAATAATTCAACACTGCAAAATCTGTGGGATGCAGCCAAGGCTGTGCTAAGAGGAAAGTATATTGCAATACAGGCCTACCTCAGGAAAGAGGAACAATCCTGTATAAGCAGTCTAAACTCACAATTAATGAAACTACAAAAAGAACAACAAATGAGGCCCAAACTCAGTAGAAGGTGGGACATAATAAAGATTAGAGCAGAAATAAATAAAATTGAGAAGAATAAAACAATGGAATCAATGAAAGCAAGAGCTGGTTCTTGGAGAAAAGAAACAAAATAGATAAACCCCTACCCAGACTTATCAAGAAAAAAAAGAGAGTCTACACACATAAGCAGAATCAGAAATGAGAAAGGAAAAATCATGATAGACACCACAGAAATACAAAGAATTATTAGAGAATACTGTGAAAAATTATATGCTAACAAACTGGATAACCTAGAAGAAATGGACAACTTTCTAGAAAAATACAACCTTCCAAGCCAGACCAAGGAAGAAACAGAAAATCTGAACAGACCAATTACCAGCAATGAAATTGAACTGGTAATCAAAAAACTATCTAAGAACAAAACACCTGGACCAGATGGCTTCACTGTTGAATTTTATCAAGCATTTAGTGAAGACATAATACTCATCATCCTTAAAGTTTTCCAAAGAGTAGAAGAAGAGGGAATACTTCCAAACTCATTCTATGAGGCTAGCATCACCCTAATACCAAAACCAGGCAAAGATACCACAAGAAAAGAAAATACAGACCAATATCCCTGATGAACATAGATGCAAAAATATTCAACAAAATATTAGCAAACAGAATTCAAAAATACAACAAAAAGATTATCCATCATGATCAAGTTGGATTTATGCCAGGGATGCAAGAATGGTACAACATTCGAAAATCCATCAACATCATCCATCACATCAACAAAAAGACAAAAACCACATGATGATCTACATAGATGCTGAAAAAGCATTTGACAAAATTCAATATCCATTCATGTAAAAACTCTCAATAAAATGGGTATCGAGGGCAAGTATCTCAACATACTAAAGGCCATATATGACAAACCCACAGCCAACATTAAACTTAACAGCAAGAAGCTGAAAGCTTTTCCTTTAAGAGCAGGAACAAGACAAGGATGCCCACTCTCCCCATTTCTATTCAACATAGTACTGGAGGTGCTAGCCACAGCAATCAGACAACACAAAAAAAAAAAGGCATCCAGATTGGCAAGGAAGGAGTTAAACTATTCCTGTTTGCAGATGACATGATATTGTACATAAAAAACCCTAAAGAATCCACTCCAAAACTACTAGATCTAATATCTTAATTCAGCAAAGTTGCAGGATACAAAATTAATACACAGAAATCTGTGGCATTCCTATACACTAACAATGAACTAGCAGAGAGAGAAATCAGGAAAACAATTGCATTCACAAGTACATCAAAAAGAATAAAATACCTAGGAATAAACCTAACCAAGGAAGTGAAAGACCTATACTCTGAAAACTATAAGGCACTCCTGAGAGAAATTAAAGAAGATACCAATAAATGGAAACACATCCCATGCTCATGGGTAGGAATAATTAATAT